AAAACCCGTATACAAATTATAGCGACATCTATCAGCGAATTCAAAAAAAAATCAACTTCGGACATGGACACCTACGCCACGGGTGATTTTAGATGTAAATGTGGTTCTTATTGCTCCAAGCCCTTCAGTTAGATACAGCTCAATTTTTGAAATCGTTATTTCTCTACAGCCCAAAATGTTTATGTGATACTAACAAGAAAATTTGGCATCGAGAATTTCTCAAGGATGAACAATTTTTGCTTTCGATATAATATATAGAGATCGCTAGTTACATCACCTGCAATCTTATTATGTCGTCACTAGGCATTCGTATTCCGCTTTGATTGAACTTTTTTGTGCCAGCTATTTGACTGTACGATAGAATGCTGACATGCGAATATCCGGAAAAGGGTTTAACTAAAATACATGTTAAAATAGATTGACTGGAATATGGTATATGGTACCCATCCATAGGTTCATCGTTATGCTACAAGTATCATAGTGTGTCGTGGAATACCGATCATTTTTATCCACAGTCACAACCATCATAGTACAACCTAAGGTGGCATGGCATTCCATTCGAAACAAATGCCGATCGTTGAGAGGACTTGAAATCCCCATGCCGCAGCTACCTATCATCCGGAACGGTAGCTAGACGGTCACCGAAGCACTCGAAGTGCCAGAATCCGTCCGGAACCGAGGTTTGGCACGTCGACAACGTTCCGTCGGCAATTAATAACCCGTATTCATTAGAGCAAAAGTGTACAGGCTAGGAACAGTAAGGTCACAAGGCGGTCCAATCAAGTGTGGCTCCCCTACGATGAGCCGAAGGTCTTGCCGAAACTTCACGTCATTACAAGCAATGACGCCAAGTAGGTTGACTCTTCACTTCCCACGCATCGCTGTCATCAGTTCATAAATGATTAACTTCGGCACAAGTTGGTCTTTCTGAGAGAGCTCCAAACATGCATAATAAAAAAAAATACTGTCAGTCAAACAGGCCCATACTGTTAGTCCATGCTCCATACTCCCCACCCGTATGTTAACGCTAACGATAGATTCTGTCCTACCCTGTGTATCCACCACCTGGCGACTGTGCCATAAGCGTAAGCTATGATACTATACTAAGTGACATATAAATCCGAACACCCAGTTTAAATGGTTTTATTTTAATAAAATTTTGTATAAGTACTTAATCATGCATAATAAGTAAATGATAAAAATTTCAAAATGATTGCACTGCTTTAAAGCCCTTTGACCTTTAATAATGTATGGATGCACCCTGATGTGCTACGCATTCTCCAACGCGCCTAGGCATGCTTCTGATCAGGTGGTCAATGTCCTCCTGTGGTATCTCATTCCAGGCAACTACCAACTCCTCTCGAAGTGCTTCTAGGGTCTGAGGAGGACGTTGCAAATTGAGCAATCTCCTACCCATCATATCCCACACGTGCACAATTGGGGATAAGTCAGGAGATCTTGGTGGCCATGGTACCAATGTGACATCATTATGTTGAAAGAAGTCTATTGTGACTCTTGCAACATGTGGTCGGGCATTATCTTGTTGGAAAGTTGGATCTGCCAGGGTGTCAAGATAGGGTAAAAGATGGGGTTCTAGAACTTCGTGGATATAACGCTGCGCGTTCATGTTACCTCTGACGAAGATTAAAGGTGACCTGGAACCATAAGCTGTAGCACCCCAAACCATAACTCCAACAGTGTGATGAACATGTCTTTCAACAAAAAACTGTGGATTCCTTTCACCACGTCGCCTTCTAACCCTGGCACGACCATCGTGCATGCCTAAACAAAATCGAGACTCGTCACTCGCCCATTCCTGATCCCAGAGTGACCGTTGTCTGCACCACTCAAGGCGATTACGTCGGTGTTCTCGAGTTAAAGGGAGGACCCAGTGTGGCCGGTATGAAAACAAGCCAAAACTTCTCATTCGTCGGTAAACACTTTGCATGCCAGTAGGTCTTCCGTGTTCTGCAAACCATTCATTTGCAATGGACCTGGTAGTGGAGAAACGGTCCCTTAAGACCAATAATCTTAGGCGGCGATCTTCACGGTCTGTTGTTCTACGGCGGCGTCCAGTACCGCTTGCTCTTTGCGTACGGCCTTCTCGAAGCCATGCCTGACAACACCTAACCACAGTGTCTACACTTCTTTGCACTCTAACTGCAATTGCCCGAAAAGAAAGTCCAGCTTCCCGAAGTCCCACTATACGGCCCCTATCAAACTCACTAAGTTGACGAAATCGTACAGATCTCCGTACTCTAGGCATCGTAACCGATCGTAAAGGATGTCAAGAACCAAAATCCGCCAACGTTGATTCTTTACTGCGGCTGAAATATTCATTTTTAGAGAGTTAGTGAATTAAAAAAAGCAGTATAAAAACCGGAATGTCCAACTGATAAGGCTGAAAATTTTTTCACTTGTTATTTACAGTAAGATAAATACATTCACCAAATTTTATTAAAATAAAACCATTTAAACTGGGTGTTCGGATTTATATGTCATTTAGTATATAATTATGTATATTTCTCCCAGTTATATATGGAAATGTATGATATGTGACAGGTGTACTAATCATAAAATTACCGAGGTTGGGAGCCAAGCAAATGAAATATAACCTCGCCTACCCATCACAACCTTCAAGCCTCAATGCTCCATCTGAAAAGTTTTCTGAAAATGATCAGAAACCTGTAAAACGTGAAAAAACATAATTTGAATTATTTTTGCCCTTAATCCGTTGCCACTAAACCAATTTTAAAAATTTTCGTGGTATACAGACCGACAGACAGACCATCAGAATGCGTGACATCGTTTTACGTAACGCCTAAAAACCATAATATCTAATTTTCGAATCCTTTCGCAATACTTCCTCGCCAGTAGGCGAGGGAACTAAAACATCTGGTTTCTGAGAAAGTTGGAGGCTTGGTTCAAGCTTAGGGACAAACTGTTGAACGAAAAATTGCTTTATCGAAAATTGCCACACTAAGATAATGTTCCTGAATAAACTACAAAACCAAAACGATTAATGTTTGTTTGAACACCAATATACAACAGACAGCTGAGATTAACTTATGGTATAAGCAGTTTAGAGTACTTAAAAACAGACAAACCAACATTGTCATATATCTGGAAAATCATTAATTTGCGAAGTAGAGAATGTAATGCAAAATTAACCTGATCTTCAAGGCATAATACTGTGAAATTATAAAAAAATATCTCCAAAAATTTACTTTTTGAGTTTTCTGAAATGTTAGCTTCATTTTCTTGTTTTCAATATCCTGTAGTACTTGCTATCCAAATTAGCAACAGATTATTCTAAACTAGATAAACTAAGAACTTAATATCCTCAGTCTAGATGACTGTCTGTTACATATATGACTTTTCGAATATGGAACGGGCTACGTAAAAACGTGTACTGTTAAACATGAGGGGCGCGAAAATTTGGTCAAAGAGCGTCAAGGTAATTCTGAATCCCGCCTTCTCAAAGTTCCCCTACTAACACTGGATGGCTCGGTGCTACATATGACCTTCCGAATGTGAAACGTGCTACGTAACATCGCGCACTGTTAAATACGCGCGGTGCGAAATTTTTGTAAAGGGGGGTTAAGGTCATTTTTATTCTGGCCCCTTATAGTTTCCCTACTGACGCTCTTTATGCCAGCCCGAGCATATTCAACAAGTGATCCCACTTCTCGCAATCTGTATACTTTGATTGGAGAGTCGGACGGGTTGCATGACAAGGGGGTCGCTTGGTCTCCTGGACCGCCTTATCGGGATGCCTGCCTGCTGATTGATGACGTGCCTGCCACCTCAGGTATGCACGTGCGAGCACTGATGGCCCTTCCATGCTAATAGATATGCAGGATGGCAGAGGAGATGGAGTTGTAATAGAGACAGATATTCTAGTGCTTTTGGTTAGCGAAAAGGGGATGATCATGACGTCACTTGGAGGAGATGCCAGCATTAAACCGAAATGTAATGATCGGACTTAGCTAATAACGTACTACTCTTTGATGTTAGCCAGTGGTCGAGAAGCATAACTGCTGGTTAGTCGACTCGGAGGCCCGCGAGCTCGAATCTCCGCTTCGGAAAGTAATTTCGAACAGAGCTGGTTGATTCAACAACCACTTACCAGTATATGAACATGTGAAATAAATAATGCGCTGTTGGTACTATGAAGTCAGCAAAAAGGGTCATAAGCTACCGTAGGCTAAGGTTACCAATGTTCCAACACTGATTCTCAGTTTCGACACACATCCTTTTAAGCTCGTTAAAAAAATTGCATATTCTCGAAAAATTTCCAATTGAATGCTGAAGGTTGTGAAAATCTTGGATATTATGGATACTTTTGAAATTTGGGATTATTAAGAATTTCTGAAACCTACATAATCGTTTTAATAGAACTTTCTTAACGGTTTGAAACCTTTTGAAACCTGAAAGATTTTAATATCCTTATAAATCCTTATTGAGAAGTTTCTGAATAGGGTAAAGTCGGCTGAGATGGCCAAACGGGAGAGATGACCAACAGCCAAATTTTCATTTAAACGTTGTTAGATGGCGCCACGGTTCCTCTCCTGAGATAAACGGCCGCGGCGTAATACGGCCAGTGTATTTTGGTCTGCGCCAAAGTCATACTGAAACATTCCGATAATAAAAACATGTTCCAGTTCGAATAAAATTTCAGGCTGATTAACCGTTCGTATTGCTTGGGTAAGTACAATGCTTATTTGTGAATTCTAACCTCTAAAAGCAGTCAAAATTGTACAGCGGCCATCTCTCTAAGTCTTTGGGATAGATGGCCATCAAGTTGTAAGTATAGATGGCCACCTATTATTTTTCTTTTTTGCTTTGCAGTTCGACTTAATTTTCAAAACATTTGATAAACCTGCCTACGGAGTATAAAAGAAAGAACTCAAACCGTGGAAATTATACTGAAGAATATTTGAGGATAGCAATTCAAGCTGTCAAAAATGGTTCTTCTGTAAATGGTGCTTTAAAAAATTATGGCATTCCTAGAAAAAACCCTGGAAAGGAGGGTAAAAAATAGTGTGTCTGGGTCTGGGAAAATGGGACCTAACAGCACGTTAGGGGATGTCAATGAAAAGAAATTAGTGCTACATATTAAAAAGGCACAAAAATATGGTTTTCCTATGACGATAACAAATGTTCGGAAGCTCGCCCATAATTTTGCCCAAAGTCTACAGATTAATCATAAGTTAAACAATGAAAAAGAAATTGCCGGTTCCGATTGGTTTAGGTCTTTTTTCAGAAGACATCCAGTCTTGTCTATTCGCAAAGCTGAAGGTGTGTAACTAGGACGAGTCCAAGGCATGAACCGCCTAGATGTGTGAAATTATTTCAAACTGCTTCAAACTACAATGGAAGAAAACCTGGCTCCATCTATAATGTGGATGAGACAAGTCTGCAACTAGATGATCGACTTGGGCGTATTGTAGCCGGAAAGGGTTCAAAAGACGTGGTTACAATTACATCGGGCGACAAAGGAGAGACAATCTCATTCATAGCCTGTTGTAATGCTGAAAGAGTTTTCTTAGCTTCCATTTGTGTATTTAAAGGCAAGAACATAAAGAGCGAACGGACTGATTCAATGCCGACTGGTTCAGATATTGTGATTTCCCAGAAATCCGCTTACGTTACAACAGAAATATTTTTGAATTGGTTTAAAAACCATTTTCTACCACGTAAAGGTGAAAGAAAGGTCTTGTTACTTCTTGGCGGACATTCGTCTCACTGTTCGTCTGTTGAACCTTTAGAAGTAACTGAAGCAAATAATATTAGTTTGCTTTGTCTACCCCCTCACACGACACATTATTTGCAACCGCTGGACAAAGCTTTTTTAAGTCATTAAAGACATTCTACTATCAATCCTGCAGAGAATGGATGCAAAGTCACCCTGGGAGAAAACTGGGACGACTGCAATTTGGTGAACTTTTAACTAAAAGTTGGGGAAAATCAGCGACCGCTGGAAATGTCATGTCCGGTTTAAAAGCTACTGGAAATTTCCCTGAAATCCATATTGCATACCCGATCATGCCTACGCAGTTTCTGACCACATTGTCGGCAATGAAACCCCAAAAAACCAAAACCAAAATACTAACATTCAACAGACCAATTTCCAATTAGATAAAGTTGAACCAACATATGAAGTACATGACCAACAAACAGAAAAATTACAAATGCTGTAATGGACGCAGTACCATCTGGTAGCCATACAGAGCCTGGGAGCGCATCTCCAGTAGAAGGTACATCTGTGTCAGATCTGACACCAGGAAAACTTTTGGATCAGATTAACCCCACACCTAAACTAGTTGCATCTGTAAGAAAACGAGCTGAGGGTATTGCTACTCTATTAACTTCACCTGATCAGATTGCTATGGTCAAAAATAGATTCGCGAAGAAAGAAAAAAAGCTTTCCACAAAAAGCAAAAGGACAGAAACTGTTCAAAAAAGAAGACGCTCATATTCGTCAAGCTCTGATGATAATGAGGATGTTTCATATGAAGAAGATAGTGATAATACCCTTTCAGAAATAGATGAAACCGAATGCAAGGAGTGTGGAGAAAAATACCATAACGCTCCTAAGCAAGAAGATTGGTTGTAATGCATCATGTGCCATGAGTGGTTTCATAAAAACTGCTCTTGTTTTGCAAACACTTGCCAAATTTTCGGCAAAAATGCGTTCAAAAAGAAGGCAAAGAAGGCAAATAAGTAGCTTTTAATCAACAGTATTTGTGTATCTTCTATTCTGACGTTCAATATTTTTCATTTCATTAATATTGTGTGGCCATCTCACCCCGATATGTGGGGATAGATGGCCAAATTCAAATTTATATTTAAACAATAAATGTGTGTTTTTGTGAAGACAATTTCTTGTTGTTATTTACTGATCTATTATAACGGTTGTTGAACAGTTGTAAATAAATATTAGTATGAGTTTAACCCTTATCGAAAATTTACAGCAGCCCACTTATGAAAATAGGGGCCATCTCACCCGATTTTACCCTACAGCAAAAATGACTATGAGAAAAGATTGACTATATGAATATTGCAAAATGCAGATCCAAGGTGGTTACTTCAATTTTCTTGAATTTCATTTTCTAAAACTCAGAAAGAAGGTAGTACCCGAATTTAAGTAAATCTGCGAAACTTTTACCTTTTTAAATGATTTATACAGATTTCCATCACAATTACGGCTTTACCCCCCAAATAATCAATTTTGCATTCATTCAAGTCAACAAGCGCGTTGAAATGGATCCATTAAAATTCCTTGATTTAATTCTGCCATCAAGTCTAGATTGCCGTGGAATTCTTTTGCATAATAAATTACGCAAGGGATTGCTCACCCCTTTGCATGGGGTGCATGCGAAATTATTGGCAAAGCAATCAGTTGTGGAGTGACCAGATAGATTTGTCCAGACAAAACATGTTTATTGAGGATACGTTTTCAATAGGGACTATCAATTAGAGAATCCAACAATATGTCACCTGTCGAGCACTAAACATTGAATACAAACCTACCATTAATTCCGGGTTGTTTCCAAAAAGGTGAACCAAAATACTAACATTCAACAGACCAATTCCCAATCAGATAACGTTGAACCAACATATGAAGTACATGACCAACAAACACAGAAAAATTACAAATGCTGTAATGGAGGCAGTACCATCTTGTATATTTAAAGCCAATCGCGGATCTAGCTTTATTTGGGAGTGCAGCAGATGATAGAAGACGAACGGAATCAATTCGCAGCGTAAAAACTCTTGATGAACTCACACAAGAATTACGTAAAATAGGATTTGACATTAGTCGCAGTGGGACATATCTTTCGTTTAATTCCCAGAAAACCTAGTTCTGCAGAGGGATGAAGACATGAATCGACAGTCCCTGTTAAGCTCATTCGGGCTCAAACTGATCACCACAAGATCCACTTAGATAGCAAGTTCGCTGAAACATCAATCCATTATTTAGAGAACATAGCATCCATACTTGGACCAGATCAAGTATGTTTCATATCTCAAGATGATAAAGCTCGAGTCCTTATTGGCGTAACTGCGGCAAATAAGCAAGTACCTCTTCTAATGTACATGGAATATAGAATCAAATTGCCTGATCACGATTGGGTAATCGCTGAGCGTCATACACTAATACCATCTGTTTCTGCTGGTATCAAAACCACTTCCAATATGCTAGGACAACCGCAATCCGTTGGATATTCTGGACCAACATACATCGCTATTCGAAGTGGAAAGCATAGTTCATCTACTGCTAATACTCATGCTCAGGATTTCGAGACGCTTCTCAAACTTGAAGAGTTTCGACCATTAGCTAAAACTGACCATGGACTAGTAAAGCCAGTGGTAATCATGACGGTTGATGGAGGGCCAGGTGAAAAGTCATTGGGTTTGCTATACAACACTTTAAGCGACATGATCTCGATGCATTGTTTTTAGCTACCAATGCTCCTGGAAGAAGTGCGTATACCAGATTAGAGCGCATAATGGCTCCTCTTAGTTGGGAACTGGCTGGTTTAATATTGCCTCATGACCACTTTGGGTCTCATTTGGATGAACATGGCGTTACAATTGATGAACATTTAGAAAGATCTAATTTCGAATTTGCAGGAAATGTATTAGCTGAAGTATGGAGTTCAATGGAAACTGATGGCTATAATGTTAATGCAAAATATATTGGGGCAGGTGAACAAGATCTTCCTGATTTTCCAGTCATTAAATGGTATTCAGAACATGTGCGTGAGAGCCAATACTTGCTTCAAATTGTAAAATGTAGAAATACAGTATGCTGTGGTCCAAGAAGTGGCCTATTTAGATTACTAGACAATAGGTTTCTTCCACCACCTGTAAAAGTAAAGCAAGCAGTTGATGACTTGGTTTTGGATGAAGGGGGGCAATTTCTTAATCTTCCTGTCAGTTTAGCTCTACGCTTAGGTGCTTCACTCAAAGATTTCCTGCAAATGCCCTACGATTATTTTTGTCCGACGGTAAAATTGAGGCTATCAAGTCGAACATGCAAAACGTGTGGTCTTTGTCATGCTTCCGTCAAGTCACTAAATCGTCACATCGAAAATATCCATAAAAAATGTAAACACGCACACTGATAGGAAAGTTAGATCTGTAAGAGTCGCTGGTCGTCGTGCTAATGAACTGATGTGCATTACTCAAAATTAAGAGCACCATGATGTTGAATGGCTCGATGAGAACGACGTAGACATTCCAAAATCCGATGAAAGCGAGCAAACTCACAACACTGAGCAGCAATCCAATGTCATCGAAAACTTAGAATCACGGATTCGGGTTTCATGGACTGAATACTGTTATTTTGAATTTAATATATGTACCAAAAATTTAAAATAAGTTTGTTATGTTAGTAAGATATAATATTTTTGTCCTTTACTCTATGTTGAGTACCGTATCAGTAAAGTATAATCTCTGTCCTAAATCTATTTTCTTATTTTTCAAACTATAATTACAACGTTACAATTATAATATAAAAAAAACAATACATTAATTGACAAATGTTTACGTAAGCATGGGGGGAGGGGGTAAGAGCTTTGTTTACTTTTGCTGACAAGGGGGATGGGGAGGTAAATAATTGTAATAAATCTGCTTACGTAATACTTGAATCGCCCCATATGGAGTTCACATTACCGATTGTATGCATTCTTTATTGAACTGAAGACAGTCAAATCCAGTGGCTGCATTTTGTGAGATACATGAGGTTGTAAGGAAATAACACTGGATCTTCTTTTGTTGGTCTAACAAAAGAAATGAAGTGGTGCAGATTATGAACAAATATACTCATTGATCCAACCAGAATCAGAAACTGTGGCAATCATATCTCTATTACAGCACTTCAGTAATAGCTCGCTCATTCTTTTTCTTTTGAAGATGAACATAGGGGGTACATATGTACCATTGGCGCTAGCAGCATAAACAATGGTTGTTGTAACACCACGCTCTCCACTTGTCGCTTTTGCTACTTGTCTTAAACCTTTTGGAGCTAAAATTTTAGAATATTTTTGAACAGTGCTAATACCTGTTTCGTCAATATTAAAAAGTTGATGAACAGAAAAATTGTGTCTTGGTTGCAGGGCTTCTAGTTTCACTTCAGTGGCATTAAAAGCGGTTATTATATTATATGAAGTAGCTTCTGCTAATTGAAATTCTTTGTTGAATCCGTGATTTAATTTGTTAGCTTCAGCAAATCTATAAGCAATACTCCGTAGTGATTTTGGGGTTATGCCATTAAAAGTCTTCCAGCAACCGATTATGTATCTTTCTAACTGGTCTTCTTGATCTTGATTAAATACGGAGTGCCGACCTTTTTTTGGCAACTTAAATGTTTCTGCTTTTACTTGTTTAAATAATGTAGTTTTAGGTACCGAATATTTAGTAGCAGCTTCACCCAAAGTGCTCCTTTTGCTTCAGCTACACGACGAAGATCGTCAATGTCGTACTTGGGCGTGGTTTTTCTTACGTAACTTCTAGACATCTAAAACAATTATCTAAAATTAGAACAGTATTACATGATCAACCAGCTAACATGCGCGCAACCTCTCACTTACGCCTTTCTGGGCTTACTAAGCGCCGCTTGACTCGTTTATTCAACATGTGCTTGACGCAGTAGTGCGGGGGGAAGCACCTGATACGTAGCTGTTCCCATTTACCCGCTGTTCCCAATTACCCCACTTTCCCCTGCGGTAGTCGGTAGATATATAGTTCTAAGCATGTGTTATTGGAGGCGCCACGATATACAGGCATCAAGTCACATCCAAAATCCGTTAAGTGCAACGTATGGAGCCTACTCGTATATACCAGGAGAACCGACAAACTGACTTCGAAACTTGACGCATGTTACTGCGCAAGCTCAGCGTGTCTCAGGTTATAGTACGAGATCCGACCACTTGAATCTGCAGGTATCTACTATTTTTTATAAAACTTATACATCATTCATGAAAATTAAGTTTTTATGAGTGTTCATATGACGCATCTGTCAAAGCACAGCGTTGCAGAATTTCCCCGGGAGAAAAATCCACACGAATTGCTAACTTTTTTGAAAAAAAGAATAGAAATGGCTCAAACTTCATTTTCTGGTATTTCCGAGGACCCTGATAATCTCAGAAAAATTTTCAGAGGTAAAAAAACCTGGGGGTGGGGGCTGTGAGAGGCTGGAGAGGGTTTGTCTCTACTTTTTGATCTTAGTACATTTACAAGCTCCCAACCATGGAAATTTTGCGCATCTGGAAGACGCATCATAGATTTCACCATGGTGGCATGATTACTCTTTCCCCTTTTTTAATCAATTAATAAATTAACAAAACATGTTAAATGAAATCTATAGGACAGTCAATGCAAAACAGCTGTCTAGTGGCGTGCAAATTTAGGCACTAGCTCAATAAAGCGGAGATTAGGGGTGGTTAAGAGACGCCACTGACTTGAGACAAATAAGCTACAAACCTCCGAGATGTTAGTCGAAAAATGTTTTGCTTGACCAGCACACAAAAGGAAAGAATCTAACAGCAATGACGAAACCTACTTAATTGTATACAGAGAGCCAAATAAAACAAGATGATTAAAAAATATCACAATATATTATCTAATCAAACAGTGCAGTGCAAGTTAAAAGAAAAAGGATTTTATTATTGTTAAACTGCCGCACAATAAAATTATTAGACCGTGATAATCAACTCTGCAAAACGTTTACCATGGTACACGTACGAGGACTTCACAAATATTTTAACGCCTAAACCTAATTTTTTCTGGAAGGTGGTCTCCTTCCAGTTACGGCTCTAGACGCAGCCGAGGTGTCCCCAGCTCACAAACGCTCGGGTCAAAAACCAGTGGCCAATATTGGGCAGTGACATGAGGAACGTTACAAGGTACGGGCTGCTTTCTTCGTTCTCAAAAACCTAGAGAGAGAAAGACTGCTTGAAAATTTACTCTCTACTCTCTGTCTGAGACAATACTACGCGTTTAAGACATTCGAACTTGAAAAAAAACCATGTACATTCTCTTTTACAAGAAAAGTGAAGCCAAGGCAAAAAAGATAAAAGTGTACTAAAGTGATACACCCTCAGAAAGTTATCCCTTGTTCTACAAAAAAGTTATAGTAGCTCAAAAATCAAAATCATGATCAATCTATGTAGTATGCTCAAAAGAAGGTGACATGTAGGCACTGCTCCATATTTGAATTTGTAATCAAGGACACTCTAAGAATTTCAGTCAGCGATAATCTATACATTGATATCTATAAAATACCGAATTAAAATAACATTTTACCTGTTCACATCAGGATTTTTTTATCAAGGGGGAGGGGTGACTTCCAGCAATATCAGCTGCAAAACAGCTGCAAGGTAGTTACAAAGCAAAGCTGGAGGAGTGTGAATGGGGGTTCTTCGCAATGCCTTCCCACTAAAAGGAAGCAGATATTGAACAAACTTCTTCACAACATGCATTATTGTACGTGGTCCGATGCTAGAGAAAAATGAACTTACCGCTGAAGGTTAAAATCCTATAAGAAAATGGACGGAGTAGCACCCTAACCAAAACAACTTAACGAAAGGTACAAAATAAAAGGCTGACACTCCTTAAATTGGTGTTTGGGAGTCTAATATCCCAGAATCTGAAAGTTAACGAAACGCCGCCCACACCACAATCTCCGCAGGAAAGTGAATGACGCAGAATACCTAACTATTGAAGAAGGTGTGTTCGATAAGAAACCAAATATTCTTATATAGGTTAGTACGTATAGAAACCACAGAGTGGCGCTGATTACCAATGGGTGGAACCAACTCTGCGAGGGACCAACGATATTTTATGAGGAAATTTGTGAGATAGTCGTTAATAATATACTATAACATTAGTGTCAAAAAGATTTCAACACAATACTGTGTCGCTGAGAAAGTAAGATATAATACGTGTGAAATTATACAATCGGTAAACTATGAAATTTGTCAAAAGAAGGTAATTGAAAACGGTTTGGACTAGGAATCGGCACTCTACCATTAATAAAGAGAAATTCAAATTACTAGTAAATGAAATTTTAAAAAAAAAGGTTACGTGATTTTGGCACGTTACACATTCTCCTCAAAACTTTAGATTCTCAGCAGGCGAATCGTGTACTTACCGGCCGATGCTGCTGCTCCCGGCGATATGCCGCCGGCGTTGATGGGCGCTCTGTTCTTCTGATATAACACGTATTTCTGCCGTGCTACAGCTAGTGTTTCCTATGCTCTGACCGCGCTGCCACGTCTAACCGACGGAGGAGGCGACGCTCCCAGATGCACTACCGGTGCTTGACGCCCGTTTTTCAATACCAAAAGTTGTCCTAAAATACTTACTGTTCGCGTATCTCCAGACATCTCCGCCAGGCACGGGAACTCATTGAAGGGCCCAGTGCTAAGGATGGACGTTTCTGCCTATCTCTGGATGGAGCCAACCTAAGATTGCTGGTGGGACTGTTGTCTGGCCATAATACGTTAAGGCGCCACCTCCACGTGATAGTGGTGGCTGAGGACCCCTTGTGTGAGCACTGCGGGGTAGAGGAAGAGACCTCGGCGCGCGTTTTGTGTTGCTGTGAAGCTCTGAGCTACTATAGGCAGACTATACTGGGGTTCATTACTTTAGACCCTCAGGACGTCAAGGAGCTTGGACTCAAGGCGATACTCAACTTCGCTAAAAGGGCGAGGCTTGTGATCTAAGGAATGTAGAGGTGCAGAAGGGCACGCTTGAGCGGCTTATGTACTGGCTCCTTATGGTAGCCGGAATGTCTCTAATTTCACGATTCATTCATTTTCACTACATACTACATACCTTCTAAAAATCATTGTACGTCGATGTTTCCAAAACTGTTATAAGAAGAGCCTATAAAATACCATCGCCGGATTCGATGGCCCAGTGAAGACCCGCTAGACTGGTAGTTCCTGTTGGGAGCTCAGATATTCCGTAGAAAGGGCATTTCCGCAACTATATTTTTGCGAATATCTGACATTTGTGGCAACTTTTTGTCATTGAAACCTGTACCTAATCGAGGCTAATCACAATACAGGGTGTGAATTAAGAGACTTACATATCAAGAAGAAATCAATGACCAGAAGTAAGAAAAAAACAAAAAATAAAACCCTGAACGATAATCAAAGCGAAAGTGAAGATGAAGTTATTGAAACAACGTGTAACAGCCATAATGAAATCAACTTGATAGACCAAATTAAAACTCAAAATAAGGAACTAAAAAGAACAATTGAACAAAACAATGTTTTACTGTTGGAAAAATAAAAATACATATTACAATTAGAAAAAGAAAACAAAAGACTACAAGAAGATTACGAACAAAGGACTAATATAATGCATTATATCGAAAATGTGGAAGATAGAATTAAAGCTGTTGAATCGAATGGCATAAACCACCGATCATATAGCCAAGAAACAGCCAGAACTAAGACATGCAACAAACCCCTAAAAACACTGCGTGAATCCTACTAAAGAACAAACAATACTTGGAACAAAAAAAGATTGAAATAAAATTGACCTATCGACATTGAAAGTACAAGTAGACAACATTATACACACTAAAAAAGGAGGAATTGAATTGAAGCTAGAAGAAAAATACCTCACTACACTGAAAAATAAAGTCGAAAAAAGATATCAAGCAAATACAATGTTATAGAACAAGAAAAGATACTACCAAGTATCAAAATTGTCGGCTACAGAAGTGAAGAACCACCTACTGAAGCAAGCCTCAAGGAAAGTATTATTAGGCAAAATCACTTCATTCAAGAAAATTATATCAAAATTACTTATATAAGAAAGAATCGCTTAAAAACATATTATACATTATTTGCAGAAGTGAATGGAAAAACATATAGATCCGTCACAAATGAAAATAATGGTAAAATATTATTAGATTGGCAGAATTTGAATGTATATGATCATAACCAAATCACACAATGTAACAACTGTTTTAGATTTCACCATACTTCTTATAAATGTAGAAATAATACGGTGTGCATCAGATGTGGAGGGAATCATGAAAGTCGCCAATGCAACATTGGAAATAAATGTGCAAATTGCATATACAGGGTGTTTCAGTTTATTGTTGAATAACTTTAAAATTCAATAGAACTTTTAAAATTAATGCATAAAGTCTATATAAACATGGGTCGAAAAATGCGTGGCTTCCGAAATACAGGGTGTTTAAATTTACTTTTTAAAATAGTTTTTTTTAAATATTTCGAACAATATTTGATGTATAACAGTGAAAATTGGTATACAAGGGTTTTTTGGTAATACAAAATGAACCATGGCCATAGTTTTACTGTAGCCGCTAGAGGGCGCTCTCTACTGTACCTGTAGTGTATTTAAATGACCGAAAATTTTTTCTTAGAGCAATTTTTTATTCTCTGAACAAAAAAACTGATTCTTCGCACTTTTCAACATAAAAAAGCTCTCTTGTGAATTTTCGTTATAGTTAGCCGTTTTTGAGATATTTCGATGTTTAAGGATTGCTGCATTTTTAATTATACAGGGGTGACTTTGAAGTTGAGTCATTAATTTTCAGATAATGATTGTAGAAGGAAGATAAACCAAAATATGTGTGTAAAAATAAAAAAAAATAAAAAAAAATGTTTACCTTGTTTTATAAAGTATCCTCCCGACAAGTATTTCAGTGCGGACCTGTATTTGATCGTGAGGTCCCCTGTGAGGTCTTAAGTCACCTGATTCACGAGCCCGTTGTACTACATTAACAAAGGCACGAGGGGTTGGTTGCACTCGATTGGGAAACCGATCCGCATAAACATGTGCCATTTTTTATTTCGTTTGAGCCACGCAACAGACACCACTATTCACACGCGTTACCGACTGACACTGACTGTATGTATACAACTGAATAAAATAATTGTAAAAACATCGTTCCAAATTCTTTCGCTTTTTTGTTTCCGATGCGATGAACCGATAAGGCGGATTATATCCGTTGTTGCCAAACACGAGCACATGATATTATTATTGAGACAGGGCGGTACTCAAACTTCCAAAGGGCTATAACTTTGTTACTTTAATTTTACCAGAAAAATGGTAAAGGAAAAAAACATTTCTTTTGATCAGATCTACTCACTGTTAAAATAAATGACTCAACTTCGAAAACACAAAAAATTGCACTAAGAAAAAAATTTCGGTCATTTTAATACACTACAGGTACAGTAGAGAGCGCCCTCTAGCGGCTACAGTAAAACTATGCCCATGGTTCGTTTTGTCGTACCGAAAAACCCTTGTATTCCAATTTTCGCTGTTATACATCAAATATTGTTCGAAATATTAAAAAAAAGCTATTTTAGAAAGTGAATTTAAACACCCTGTATTTCGAAAGCCACGCATTTTTCGACCCATGTTTATATAGACTTTATACATTAGTTTTAAAAGTTCTATCGAATCTTAAAGTTAGGCAACAATTTTTTTATAAATTATCAATTTCACGATAGAAATAACCTTATTCCGTTAGATCACTTATATCACACTAGAAACAAAATCAACAACATTAAGCGAACACGTTTCACCTCAAAAAGTATAGGTCAAAGATGTCATATTTACCTTTCCAGTAAGTAGATTATATAACATATTAACCAAATTATATAAGAAATATTTCAAATAAAACAAAATTCAAAATTGAAACCAAAAAATTCATAATTGAAAAAATCGACATCAAATTTCAAACATGATACTTATGAAAGAAATTTAAAATTAATGTAATAGTAAAAACTCTCCAACGTTCACGTACTCGTATATGTGTGTATGTGTGCATCTATTTATGTGTTCTTTATTTGTATGAATATATACGTGTGTATATGTATATTTATGTAAAAATGTAAGTTAATACCCACACACAAGAATTTATTCTTCTGTGGGTAAATTCAGTTTATTTACGTTAGTTTTAGTTATATTTGTATGTTACGTGAATAAACTTATTATTATTATTATTATTATTGTTATTAGATATTCATTCATACTGTTCGCGTGATGGACACTCATAGAATTCCGCTCATACCTCTTTTTTGGACGGTCTCTAAATTTCTGGGGCAACAGTGGCGTCACTGACCTTCCAAGATAAATCAACTTGCCACAATTACAGCGATAAACCTTATAGCTTTTTAATCATAAGGTTTGCGGAGTTTCTCGGCGGCATTCCAACTATTTTAAACGAACCGACGCGACGTCGGGAACTTGTAGTTAGCTTTAACACCTCGTTATACGTTTTCCTACAATGCAGAGCCTTCGAAGTACTCCAGAGTTTTGTTTTAGGTATCATACTTGGTGGACGTCAGTCATAGTCCAATGAAACTGTTCAACCATTTTAATGTGTTTCATTTATAATTGGGATTATTAATATAAGAAGACCTCTGCAGCCAGGTTCACAGTTATCTATGGCAGGGTAATTTTCGCTATGGCCCACTTCATATAATTTATAAGCAGGTAAACCACTGTTACTCATTTCCGTCTTCATGTCTGTATGTCCACTGACCTTTGGCCCGCTCTTAGCTTGAAAAGTTTGTAGTTTTTGAAAATAGTCCAATGGCGGCGAAACGACACGCGAAAAACGAAACAAAAAATGCTCAAACTCGGTTATTTGACTCCTCAGAAATCATTTTTGGATTGGTGAGAGGTAGAAAATTGGGCTCGGGCATTGTAAAAAATATTGCATCTTTGGTATTAGTGAAATAAGTTCCATTGAAAAGAAGCTTCTGATAAGCGAGCAGACATATCCCAGATATAATAGCCCGTACATGTTTATTTAATTGAATCCTGGCTCTAAATCAGGTGTCATAACCAGACAATAGTAAAAAAGGCAGGCGACGAATTATCTATATATGTTAGCAATCCAATTTAATGGACTAACGTGATATTGGGGGTAATATTCACGGTCAGTTGTTTGAAACTGCAATGAAAATAAAAATTGTAACCAATGGCTGTAGACTGAGGAACTTTTTTCTACTTAAACTTTGAGTAGTAAGTTAATGGTTTTTCCAGGAGTCAAACGACGTATCAAGAGCTATTATAATCATGGGAAGTGGGGGGGGGGTTGTGCACCAAGGCAGATTGAGAAAACAAAATAGCAGTAGCGTGAGTAGGTTTGAGTTTGCCTCTAACACTCGATCCTCAAGGTTGACAGCTGGTAGGCTAATCGGTTAGATCGACTCCACCGAATGGATGAGATGTGGGTGCTTACTGAAACAGAAGCAGCTCTACACGCCAGCTGAAAACGAATAAGGATACAATTTACACAAATGCTCATTGATGGATTTATGAGGATTGAGGATTTTTGTTGAATAAAAGGCCCAAACAATATACAAGACTTACGTCTTTTGAAGCTATTATGTATGGATGAAATTGCACTACACGGAAAATTGTACTAGAAGTTGTTTCGAAGGCGTGAGAAGTATAGGAGAGGGTATAAATATGGGCTACCATTTTATTTAATTGGCATATTTGACACATATTTGGTCTATATGGCTCAACTTTTTTTTTCTCGGATAAGCTGAACCTAATCTAACTTGATGCTGTCAGTTTTTATTTTTTTTTACATAAACCTTATTCGATTTTTTATATGTTTAAATAAAATTGGCATCATAAAAGATATTGAGACAGTGATACAAATATGGGCTACCAGAAAAAATACCTACACATGGTAACTAAGAGCTTTATTCAAGAGCAAAATTTTGAAAAAACAGAAGCAGTTGGCAAGAACACATTAGATATTATCCAGTGCGACAAAAGTCACAAACATAATCGTCTTTATCAGCACCTGCACAATCAACATGACACCACATATTGCACATTAAACATTGAACCCATAGTTCTCCTTTGCGGTCTTCGGAAAATTTACTTTCACAAATCATCTGGTTCCTTTTGTCCAGGCAGATCATCCAAATCTAAGTCATCATCTGCTAACATCAGCTCTGTTTCATCGTCATCACTTTCAGATTCTCCTAAAGATTGCTGCTTTTTATTCTCCTTCGAAGATATGGACGATCTCTTTTTGGTTGATTGAGAAAACACCTTTTTTTTAATAGATTTAATCTTTTGTTTATTTTTATTGGCAGTGCTCAACAATAATTCATTTTTGTAAGGGGACGAAGTAATTACTGCTGCTTGTGATGCTTTCCTACCCCTATTACTTGTTTTTTTTTAAGATCGGAACTGGTGAAATATCGAAGGGAGTCACCATTTTTTTTTTGATCCCAGATGGTCCAGGCTGAACGCTGTCGTGATTGAGTAGCTCTACATCAGATTGAAATTTACCACTTGGCCCGGGTTGAACGTTGTCTAGACTAGGAGGCTCTAGATCTGATTGAGTAGTGCCCAGTGTGCTCTGATCGAAGTCATTTTCAGCGGTACAGTGTTCTGTTCCTTTTTCTATTTCGGCTGCAAGAAAGTCCACTTCGGAAAAAATATTCCTGTTAATCGGAAAAATTCCAGTAACGCGGAATCCTTTTACGGCGATTTCTCCAGTCTGACTTTTGAGATAAGCCCTTCCCAAAAGTTCGCCCATATCATATTGGGTTAAGGGACGATGATTATGACGAATCCATTGTCTAATCTCTTCGCTGTAGTAAGATTTTAATGTACCCATGAAAGTTTTGTCAAGAGGTTGCAATTTATGTGTTGAATGAGGGGGTAATGAGATTATGCAAACATGATTTTCTCTCGCCATAATAACAACCTCTAAATTACGGGTATGACTATAATGTCCATCTAAAATTAGAAGAACAGGTGAAGATGCAGTTGGTTTTACCGTGTTGATGAAATGTTCGAACCACTGGGCGAATAATGAGGCCTGAACCCATCCACTTGGGTGAACTGCTGATATTGATCCTGGAGGAGTGCCTTTCATTAATTGCACATTCATATTTTTTCTAAGAAATATGAGCATCGGTGGAACGAAGTCTCCCCCTGCATTCATGCAGGTAATCAAAGTGATTAAAGACCCCCTTTCTAATGATGTTAAAGATGCAATTTGTTTTTTGCCCTTACGACCAACCACTTCAGCCACTTTATTTTGCACAACAGTTAGACCAGTCTCATCTACATTAAAGACGCGATTAGCTGGGAAATTGTGGTCTTCATATGCTTTCTCCAAAAGTGTAAAGAAGTTGTCCACACTCTCTTTGTTGAACCCTTTGGCACGTGCAAATGATGTCCCAGTAGGTTTTCTAACCGACAAAATGTTGTGTCTTTGCAAAAATAGATCTAACCAGCCCCTTCCTGCTGTTTGTGTATTCCCAAAAGGATGCCTTATGCCGTTTTCTTCTGCTAAGTAAAATGCCATACGTTTAACGTCTTTGCGGGTTAAACCATAGAACTTGGCTTCCATTTCAAGAATATAGCGAACTAATGATTCTTCCAATTCTGGAGTCAAAACTGTACCTCGCCCTAATTTGATCTGAACAGCCTCCTCCACGCTAAGATGGTCCATTTTGGCCAATCGCTGCACTTTAGTTCTTGGAACGCCATAAGTTTTAGCTGCCTTTAGAGTACCCATAGTTTTTTCTCTTACCGCTTGAACAGCCCTTTTCATATGGTCTACATCCCATGTCTTCCGTTTCTTGGCGCTCAACTTGGGACTAACAATAGCTTTTCTGCGTGGCATTCTAAAACAAGGTTCATGATTTCTACTACTGTTACAAATATGGGCTAGCCCATATTACAAACGTAATACCAGCCCATATTGCACATAACCTTCAAAAAGTTTGAAACTCCACAAATATTTTATATCTTATATCTGGGTAAAATTAAAAACAAAATCTAAAAATACGAACCTTATTTTCAATTGTAAGCTATAAAAATCCAGTTAAATTCTAAAGCCTACTTGGTTACAGCGACAAATAACCACCACTGCAAAACTTATAAACACTGATAAAGACCAAATCACACGAAACTGAATTGCATATGTGAAAAGAAGAATTCTGTGATCAGCAGGCGGTTAGGTGCTCTAAAGAGCATCTAATTGATACATTACTCGATAGATGACTCTAGGTGCATCAGAAATATCAACGTAGCCCATATTCCCCGCCTAGCCCATATTTATACCCTCTCCTCTATCTAGTTAATTTACATGGCGCCATTTTTTTTGCCTACGGAAGATGAGTTCGAGGTAAGGCACAAGCAGATTACTGATGGATGTAGATAAGTTAGGTTGACACGTGCCAAAATCACGTCACCTTTTCTTTCTATTTATCACTTATCAGTAATTTGAATTTCTCTTCAATGATAATAGAGTACCCATTCATAGGCCAAACCCCTTTTCCATGATTTTCTTTTTTCAAATTTAATACCTAGTTTATTGATTGTGTAATTTCACTCGTATCATATCTTTCTTTCTCAGCGATTCAGTATAGTGTTGACGATCTGCAAAAAACTCTGTAGTCTTTCTCTGTTAGCTGGATTCCTATAAAACATATCTTCTTCAAGGCCACTCAAAATTTCTTCCTCTAGAACGTCACGTATTCTGCGTGATTTGCTTTTCAGTTTCCGTTGAGGTCGTGGTGCAGGGGTCGTTTTGTCGTTTTCCGGACTCTGGGATATTAGGCCCCAAGCGCCCATTCATAGACTATCACCCTTTTCTTTTTGTTGTGTAATTTAAGTTTAGTTATTTTGGGTGCTACGTCTTCCATTTTTTATTGGAGTTTGACCCTCAGCGGCAAGTTCTTTTTTTATATACCTTCGGACCGCGTGTCCTGATGATGTTCATTCAATATCTGCTTTCTTTTTGTCAATAGAAACAGAAGGAAATCATCATCTTTTCTCCTCCAGTCAGTTGCAGCGTTGCAGTTTTGCGAATTGGAAGCCATTCCCTTGAAAAAACCCTGATGTGAACAGGTAAAATATCAATAATTAACAATTTCATAGATCTTTATACATTTATTATTGCTTACTGAAATTCTTAGCGACTTCTTGAATTTATTAGACAGTCTACGTATTCAAATATGGGGGCAGTGCCTACATGGCACCTACTATTACACTATTACATTGATCCTGATTTTGATTTTGGAGCTGCCATAACTATTTAGAACAAGGGTATATTGGTTAGTACATTTTTATCTTCTTTTTTTTGCCTTTGATTTACTTTTCTTGTACAAACAAATGTACACCTGTTCGCTTCAAGTGCGACAGTCTTCAATGTGTAATTTTATCTCAGACATGTTACCACCATAATTTTTGGGACTGAGGCAAGCAGCCCCTGCCCAGTGACGTGCCCAATACTGGCCACTTTTTTACCTTTACTCTGTGTGTACTGTTACTTAAATTTCGTCATCCCTGTTAGATTATCCTTTTGTGTGCGGAGTTGTGGCTTA